GCCCCTCTGGGCAAAGGCAGCTGGGCATGCAAAGGAATGGCTGTGCTTTCTTTTCAGACAGCTCCTATCAAGGCAGGAGGACACAGTTGGGCATGAGAAACACCAGCTCCTCCCCAAGAAGGAAACCCACTCCCTACAACCCAGAGGGACATCTCCAAGCCACTACCCACGCACTCACCCACAGGCCCCCCCACCTCCACAAACCCCTCCAAACTTCACTTGGTCTCACCAGAGCAGTGCCTGGTGCAGTCCTATCTGCTGCTGGGAGCCGGCCCCTCTGGGCAAAGGCAGCTGGGCATGCAAAGGAATGGCTGTGCTTTCTTTTCAGACAGCTCCTATCAAGGCAGGACGACACAGCTGACAGTGAGAAGGTTCAACTCCCTCAAGTGAAGGAAACTTGGACCTAGAGGGAGCTGCCCCAGATTTCACCTGCCCACTTGCAGGACTCACATCTCTACACAACCCTCCAACTTCAGCTCCTCTCACCTCAGTGTCTTCCCCAGTCAGCACTGCTGTCCCCCTCAATGCCTCTGTTCTCTTCTCTGACCGCTTCTGTCAAGCAAGGGGGACACATTTAGACCTGTGTTCTGACTCCCAACCTCTACTCTTGTGGAAGGACTCACTAGTGAAGCATTGCTTCTTTTCATTATGTATTCCTTCTTTAACCCACATCAGTTTTAATTTTTATTTTATCCCTTCTCTTTTCCTTTGTTTTTTCCTTTCTAGACTTCTAGGCCATTCACTGCTGTAAATTCTATTGCTGAACTCAGCATGAAGTACTTGTTATCCTCCTTTTCCCCTTCTTACAGGAAGATTATGTAGATGATTTTCTCTTAAACTTCAGCTTCATTACTCTAAATAATTGAAAATAGTATTTTTAATTTATTAAGTCATTCTATATGATGGTGATTTACTTTCACAAGAATTCTTCCCTTCACCCAGCCTGTACTTTCAGTTCCTGCAACTACACCAATCCGAACTGTTCACACTGCTAAAATATTTATTGTTTGTGATACTTTAATCATCTTGCAAACTTACAGGTCCCTGCTACGAAAATGCTGCCAGTGTCTTCCCTAAGCTACTTCTGATTTTGTCCTCAAACATGATCAACCCCATACTCCAAGATGTTAATTTCGTCCTCTCAGATTCTCCCTTAAAACCTGCCCTGCATGTCCTTTCCCTCAGCTTTACCTCTCTGGAACTCTGTCCCTTCTGAGTTACCTCACCAAGCCTGAAGGAGTTCAAGAAGCTTTTCCCTCAGTAACTCCACCGAAGAACCCTGCTGCCCCTCTGACGCCGCTGCTTAGCACTCCCTACCTCTGTAGCAGCCTAAAATCTGCGCCGGGGCGACCCCAAAACCTTCTACGGGAGCTTCTCAAAGCGCCCTTCGCCTCCCGGACCGCGGGAGGGGCAGGGCCGGCGCTGCTGAGGGGAGCGGCGGGAAACGCCTTTCCCCAGCGGCACGGGGAGCCGCCACTGCCCCTCCGCGTCCCGTCCGCTCGGGGCACCCTCAGAGCCCCGCGGGGACCCCTCAGGGCAGCCTTTTCCCTCCGCGTCCCTCGCAGTCCCTCAGGGATACACGAGACTCCAGCTTACCCCTCAGGGCAGCCTTTTCCCTCCGCGTCCCTCACAGTCCCTCAGGGATACACGAGACTCCAACTTACCCCTCAGGGCAGCCTTTCCCCCCTCAGGGACCCACGGGGCGCCCCCGTCTCCCTCAGGGATCCGCAAAGCCCCTCAGCGACACTCAGGACACCTCATATTTCCCCTCCCCAAATGTCCGCCACTCAGGCTTTCCCCTCTAAGGTCTTCTTCCTGTCCCTGAGGCTTTACCTTACATTTTCCCTCAAAACGTCCCCTGGTTATCCCTCCGAAGTTCCCTCATGTTTATTTTTACAAAGACCTCCGTCCTCTCTTATGTACCTGAGCTTTTCCCTCAGTAACTTCACCGAAACAACTTGCTACCCTCTGACGCCGCAGCCCTGCGCCCCCACCGCTCCGTAACACGCCAGATTTGACCGGGGGAGGGAGGAGAAGCGACTCCAGAGTCTTTTATAGAGCCCCTCAGGCGTGGGCGGGACGGCTCAGCTGCGGGGGATGAGGGAGCGGCGGGAAACGCTCTCCCCCGGAGCGCGGGAAAAACGGAGCCGCCGTGCCCGGGCTCCTCCCGCCCTGCCCCGTGTGGCTCCGTGCCCTCAGAGCACCCCCATGGCTTCTCGGCCACCCTCAGGGCACCCCACCGATACACAGGGCACCCACTTGCCCGTCAGCAATACACAGTACACCCATTTTCCCCTCAGCAACTCTCAGAGCACCTCACCCACATGGAGAACACCCGCCTGTCCCTCAGTGACCCTCAGAACTCCTCAGTAACTCCCTGGTCACCTGATTCTCCCTCAGTGACCCTCACTGACCCCTCAGCGACACACAGGGCACCCCTACAGTTTTTATATAACACATCCATTTTTAAAATTTTTTCCACATTTGTGCTGCTGCTTCCGCAAAACAGGGCCATTCCTCTGTCAGCATTGATTTCAAAGTCACTGCGGCACTTTGCACTGAAAGAGGATCAGAAAGAGCTATAAAATTAAGGAAATAGGGCTGGTTCCCTACACATTTTTAAGCATTTAATTTAAAAGTGATTACACAAAGGCTTTCAAGACCAGACTGGCAACCATAGGCAAAGGGCAGGCTGGGATTAGGATAAGTGGGAATGGTTTTAAATTGAAGAAGGGTCAATTTGGATTAAATATAAGAAAAGTTTTTTACTCTGAGGGTGGTGAAACACTGGCATAGGTGCTGGATGCCCCATTCCTGGAAGCATTCAAGGCTAAGTTGGATGGGGCTCTGAGCAACTTGATCTAGTTGAAGGTGTTCCTGCTTATTGCATGGGGTTGGACTAGGTAACCTTTAAAATGTCCCTTGCAACTCAAATTATATTATATTTCAGTAGGTAAGGTGGTGAGCTACCTAGTGATCTCAGCTCCAGTGGACTTTAGTTTCTACTACTCAAGAGCCTTGAGAGGAACCCCTGAGCAAGGCAAAGCAGGACCCCCACATCTGATTCATTAATTATCTTTTCTAGAGAGTCTTGTCACTCTTAGGAGTTAAAGATCTGATGTGTAATGGAACTGGAAGCTCACATCCAGGCCTTGGGTGCCTGCTATCGGGTTCGAGATACCATACCAACATGAAATGCTGAAATCAGTGCAAATTCACTCTCCCTGATTCAGGTGTGTTTCTATTTGTTTGGGGTTTGAAGGAGGAAGCTTTCTCCCAGCAGGTTTATGCCAGAGAGATGATCACCTGTGCTGCTGCAGCTGACTCAGCAAGCACAAACAGCTCTCTGTGTGCCAGCAAAAGGGACTAAAATGTATTTGGCCAACCCCTTTACTGCCAGTGATCCACCTCTGTCTGCTGGTGGGAAGGCACTTACAGGGATCCCAGCTGGATTCCTGGTGTGCCATGTGCTCCTTGGCAGCACCTGAGGAGCATTTAACAGCACACAGGTGCAGCAAATACAGCCTGAGCAAATCCAGAAATCTTGCATTTGGAGCTGATTTCTAATCAAAGTCTTTTGGTCTCTCTGCATGCAGAAATTCTGACATTGTGTAGTATGT